TTTAAAATATTTCTATGTTCGTAAAACTGACGATTCTGGGGCGGAAACCTTGTTTTTTTGGAAAACCGCTAGCGCAGTTTTGGTCAGTGGCACAACTCGGCGCTATGGCCAATGATAAATCGTATATAGAAGAATAATTAATAACCTCCGTACATTGGATAAATGCTCAAAAACGCAAGTTTGAGACGCGTTCCGTTCCTTGAGGAACCTGAAGCTGACATCCCTAAGGTCAAATCGATTGATCACGTGATCATGTTCATAAAGTATTATGCTTTTTTTGTATAGAACTTCTTCCGAAATGTGGCTCACCGCTGAGGGAGAGTAGGGCACGTTCACAAAGCCAGTTCCTCCGTTCTGGTCATCACTGTTTGTTGAAAAACTGGGAAAATTTGCAAGTTTTTCTGGAATTTCTGAAAAATTTCTATATTTTGGAGGGAGGAGGGAGATACCTCCTAAAACGTTGCCAATAAACAGAAAACAACTTCACATTACTCTTCCTGGCTTTTCGGTTTTACTGTTAATATTTATTAGAGAGGGACTACCGGGACTTATTTTTTCGGGATTTATTCTTTCTAGCGGACTTATTTCTTTATTGAGGATTTATTCTGATATATTAATATTGATGCTATCCCAGTATACTCATATCAACACCCACACCCACACTCACACCCACACCCACACTCATACTCACACCGACACCCACACCCACGCTCACACCCACACTCACACCCACACCCACGCTCACACCCACGCTCACACCCACACTCACACCCACACCCATACTCACACCCACACCCATACTCACACCCACACCCATACTCACACCCACACCCACACCCATACTCACACCCACATCCTCATCCACATTCTGTATGTAGCGAGGAACTGTATGGAATTTATCTCAAAGTGCGTACGGACTTATTAAAAAATCCCAATAAATCCCGAAAAAATAAGTCCCGGTAGCTGCTGGATAGAATTGGGTAAAGTCTAGATCTGAGTCGAATCTAACAGTCTCTCGTATATGTATGGGTGTGGGGCTGCACGAAACTCTCACATCTATATCCACTACTGCTTTCGGTCTGTTTTCTGTGAATCTATTGTTTGGTAGTTTGATATTCTTACATTTCCAACTTAGTGAGAGAAAACAAGAAAAGATATGCGTGATGATGTTTTTTGACATTCTTTTGCCCTTATCTAAAATACCAGAGAACGTTTTGAAAGAAATGTTATCAGCGGAGAGAAATAAGCGCAAAGGGTTTCTTTTCATCTCAATGAGATGAGATACCATTGTTATATATATATATTATGTTTATTGCTTCTTGAGGTAACAATGAGTTTCATGGCTTGCAACATTTCCTGGGTGCACCCCGCTACTGCTACACCGTATGATGCCATTATTGGTATACACAGTCTAAAGGATTTGGTGAAAGATGGATGGAGAGTAACAGTGTATAATACTAAACATATGACATCACCCTCAACATCAATGGCTTCGTATAATAGTAGCTTAACAGTTGGTATGCTTGGCTCCTACAATCGTGGAAAATCGTTTTTGCTTAATCAGCTATGTAAGACTCAATTTCCTAGTGGACGTTTACTACCGACTGAAGGCATTTCAATCACGGCGTCAAGAGATACTGTTAAAAACTTGATTTTTATAGATACAGCTGGTACAGACACACCAGTGAAGCAAGAAGGACTCGAAGATAAAAGAGCTACTGAAGCTCTCTTAAGGGAAATAGTTTTGCACTTGTGTTCTTACATTATCATTGTATTAAATCGTCTACATTTAACAGATCAAATATATGTACGGGAAGTCTTGGATTATTGTAGCAAGCTACAGATATCGGACAAGCCAGAAATTATTTTTGTGCACAATCTGTTAGATCTTGAAAACGAAGACGATGTTACCGAAGTAATTACTACTGAAATCTATGGTATTTTGGGTGCTAAATTAGTAACTATAACACAACGAGTAAATGGGCAAGATAAGGATATCGATACCTATCGGTCGATATATAATGGAACCACGCTGCTTCATTTTGTTATGGCAAAAGAGGGTTCTCCTGCAGGAATAAAATGGAATGATCAATCACTAGAAGGTATGATCGCCATTTTACAAGCGGATATACGACGCAGACGCGACGTTCATATCTTAGACGAGACCTTAAGTTATGTTAACAGCAAACTACCTCAATTATTTTCCTGTGAGAATGATTACAAAGCTGATGTACCAAAGCTGCAGATCGTCAAACACGAGACAGAGCCGTATATTGTAGTTTCTGATTTGGAGCATGTTCCACTCGTAGAACGCCAGAAACATTCTTCTTCTTTTTTAGTATCTCCTAGGTTAATCTATGACCAACGCGGATTTTTAATGGGCATCTTTTCAGAGCAGATAGGAAAGTGGGAGCCTCGTTATCGTGTGTATGAAAATAGTGATTGTATAACAATACTTGTCGAATTGGCTGGCTTCGACGATATGGAAGTTGTTATTAATGTTGATAAAAAGAATATTTTCATCGAAGGCAAACGAGATGGTTTCGCAGAATTGCAATACAAAAAGGTTCCTGATCAATCAGAATTTCCAATGGGCCCATTTGAATTGAAAATTCCTCTGCAGTGCGACATCGAGAGTAGTCAAGCAAAACTGGAGTGCAAAGCTGGATTATTCACGATTACCTGTCCAAAAACGAAAATGACTGTACACCAACTGGGAGCCAAGTCTAATTTAAAGAAGTAGAATAAATGTATCCCGAAATTCAGACTACGATTAATAAACAATAAAACTTTGCGTCTTAGTTTATGTTTTCTAGGATGAGTGGAGCCACCATGAAATCTATGCTCTTTTTGAATTAAACTGAACTGGAAAAAGGAAAGCTACTCTGCTTTTTAGAGACGTGGGACTTGACGGTGTTCACGTATTCTGAACTCATCTACTCTAAATTCAGCTATAGATACATAGCTCTCTTTTTTGGAGGCGGTAGGTTGTTGACTCTTTAGCGATACTAAATTCATCTATAGATTCAGACCGTATTTTGATGATTTCTCTGTTGATAACATACATTATATCTGCCTTGATTTCTTTTTAAACAGTCGTCTTATCATTCTATACGAGATAACATATTTTTCGTTAATATTCGCTGGACTGTAGAGAGGGTCATATGAAATAAAATGGGTTTGTTTGCCTGTGTGTGTTTGTGACAGGTCAAAGATCAAAGATGAAAGTAGCAGACATTAACACCAGAGTGATGAGGCCGCCGGTAATCGAGACTGGCGAATGAGAATCTAAACACTATAAGGCTCGAAATCATATTGGTCAGCTAAGAACCAACGGAAATCGAGTTTTTAGAAAAGTAATTTCCTAGATTGGTGTGAGGGTCGTATGAAATAAAACGAGTTACGCTATCTTTTTGTCTGTGTGTTTGTCGCAGGCCAAGGATCAGAGGTCAAAAATCAATCATGACAGATCAAGTCTTGCTCGTGAAGAATTTCATTAAATGAAAATCATTCAGTTCAATAAACAATTGATGGTCTTTTTTAAAACTGCATGTAAACAGTGAGCGTCTTATTCCCTCGACTGAAGGGAGAGCCATATGAAATAAAATGAGTTTGTGTGTGTGCATTTGTTTGTGGGAGGCCAAAGGTCAAGTTAAACCGAGTTACCAGAAAAAGGGCTTTTATGAGAAAATAACAATTTCCTATAAAGTTTCAGCAAAGTTTTTCGGGGCCGAGGAATCCGAATCTGGAGTCAGTTTGAAAAATTTTCGAACTGACTTTTTTGGTAGTACAAGAGTTTTTCGGGAGAATAAAGATTTCCTAAAAGGTTTGGCCAAAGGTAACCGGAGTCGAGGAATACGAATCTGCAATCGCTTTCAAAAAATTTTGAGCTATGTTTGTAGGATAGGCGAATGATTTTTTGAATAAATAACGAATGAGGAGTAGAGATATGTCTGAAAGAAACAACAAAACGTTAGAAAGGGATGATATGATGAAAACAGATGAATAGGATCCCGAAGAATTGAAGAAATTTGTTGCTCGATAGATACGATCGTGATTACGTAGTGGTTGTATCATTTTCTCGGACCCAAAGATGCATAAAGTTGCTGCTTTCGGAATTAACTTTAGAGAACAGTCGAACTAGAGGAAGAGTGCAGGAAGACAGGTAGAATCTGAAGTACTTACAGCGTCCTAAAGGTTAATATGCACTTATAAAATATCCTATCGTTGCCTTTGATGTTTTTGCTGGCGAAACCACCTTTGTATTTATCTCAGAATTTCTTCAATGTTTTCTGTGGGTGTGGGTGTGGGTGAATACAGAAAATATTAGTACCCATAGCCATACCTACACCCACACCCTTCTCTGCATCAGCCCCATGGGCAGTGCCCAATTGATCTACAACGACTCCTTGAGGACATGACAATTGTGTAAGACTATTTCCTTGCCATTGACCATCAGCCACGACAATGACTTGTTTTGCTCCTTCCACCCACTTCGTCACACGATGATTTCCACAGTTAGACACGTACACTAAATGATCCCCTTGGACAAATATGTATCGTGGAAAAAGAGAGTTGTTTGAGACGATTTGGGTGTGGCTGTATTATTCTCAATCCACTGCCCACATCCACACCCTTTTCCCCCTCATCAACTGCAGTTAAAATCATTTGAATATCTAAACTATGGTTCTACTAGATATAAGAGCATATGAAATAAGTGAGTGATAGAAAAATATAAAGTACGAGATAGAAAAACTAACAAGTCTGCAAGAGAATATTTAAACTGTCAGTACCACTATTAGCGACGGCAATATCTAGTTTTCTGTCATTATTGAAGTCTCCAAGGACAATAGAGAATGGATTGGATCCATAGTCCAACGGGAATAAGATGACACTTGCAAATGTGCCGTTGGCATGTCCAAGAAACACACCTAGATAGTTGGTATCATCAATCGTGACAACAATGTCTTGTATAGTGTCATTGTTAATGTCGCTTACAGCTAAAGAGTATCGAGACGAATTTGAGCTTGTTGAATACATCATTTGATTTCCAAAAGAGCCATTCCCATATCCAAGAATAATCCCAACACTGTCCGACTCACAACTAGCAAAGACGATATCAACTCGAGTATCATTGTTAACATCACCGACAGCCATAGAGCATGGAGATGAATACAGGCCAGTTGAATATGTTATTTGATTTGCAAAAGAGATATCTCCATATCCAAGAAAAATACCAATATTGTGCGCACCTGAATTAACGACGCCAATATCCATTAGGTCATCATTATTAAAATCGCTAATTACTAAAGACTGTGGTCGAGAATCATTTCCAGTTACCAGTGTCATTTGCTTTACAAAAACTATATTGTCATAGCCAAGAAGGACACTCACATCATTGCTACCAAAATTGGCAACAACGATATCTAGTCGAGTGTCGTTGTTGAAATCACCAACAACTACAGATTGTGGCCAAGAGCCAGCTGAATATCTTCTTTGATTTTCAAAAGAACTATTATCATTTCCAAGAAGAACACTCACATCATTGCTACCAAAATTGGCGGCAACGATATCTAGTCGAGTGTCATTGTTGAAATCACCAACAGCTACAGATTGTGGAGAAGAGCCAGCTGAATGCCTTGTTTGATTCTCAAAAGAACCATTTCCATTTCCAAGAAAGACACTCACATCATTGCTAACCGCACTGGCAACAATGATATCTAGTCGAGTGTCGTTGTTAAAATCACCAACAACTACACATACTGGAGAAGAGCCAGCTGAATATCTTCTTTGATTTTCAAAAGAACCATTTCCTTTTCCAAGAAGGACACTCACATCATTGCTGACTCCATTGGCAACAATGATATCTAGTCGAGCGTCATTGTTGAAATCACCAACAACTACACATACTGGAGAAGAGCCAGCTGAATACTTTGTTTGATTTTCAAAAGAACCATTTCCATTTCCAAGAAGAACACTCACATCATAGCTATGATAATTGGCAACAACGATATCTAGTCGAGTGTCGTTGTTGAAATCACCAACAACTACAGATTGTGGAGAAGAACCAGCTGAATACCTTGTTTGATTTTCAAAAGAACCATTTCCATTTCCAAGAAAGACACTCACATCATTGCTACCCGCATTGGCGACAACAATATCTAGTCGAGTGTCCCTGTTCAAATCACCAACAACTACAGATTGTGGAAAAGAGCCAGCTAAATATCTTCTTTGATTTTCAAAAGAACCATTTCCATATCCAAGAAGGACACTCACATCATTGCTATAATAATTGGCGACAACGATATCTAGTCGAGTGTCGTTGTTGAAATCACCAATAGCTACAGATCGTGGAGAAGAGCCAGCTGAATACCTTATTAGATTTTCAAAAGAACCACGATTGTACGCAACAAAGATATCCACATGATTACTTCCACCGTTAACGATCACGATCTCCGATCGTTTGTCATTATTAAAATCACCAGAAGCCATAACTAACGGAGGTGAATCAAAACCAATTTCATAACTTGTTTGAATTGCGAATTTTCTCTTCCCATTTCCAAGCATTATATCTACATGCTTGGCACCATTATTGGCTAAAGCAATATCCACTATGCGGTCACCATTGAAGTCCCCAACCGCGATGGAAATCGGATGAGAATTTGCGCCAGTGCTGAGCATCATTTGGTTTTCAAAACTACCATTCCCATATCCGAAAAGGACGCCGATATTATTAGTGCCATAATTAGCAAAGACTATATCCAGGTTAGTATCATTGTTCAAATCACCAATTACTACGCATTGTAGGCTAGATCCACCGCCAGATGCATACGCCATTTTATATACTATCGCTCCTCTGTTATATTGCAGCAGGACACTCACATCATCGTCATAAAAATTGGCGACAACGATATCTAGTCGAGTGTCGTTGTTGAAATCACCAACAACTACACATACTGGAGAAGAGCCAGTTGAATACCTTGTTTGATTTTCAAAAGAACCATTTCCATTTCCAAGAAGAACACTCACATCGTTGCTACCCGTGTTGGCGACAATGATATCCAGTCGAGTGTCATTGTTGAAATCACCAACAGCTACAGATTGTGGCCAAGAGCCAGTTGAATACCTTATTTGATTTTCAAAAGAACCATTTCCTTTTCCAAGAAGGACACTCACATCATCGCTACCCGCATTGGCGACAATGATATCTAGTCGAGTGTCGTTGTTGAAATCACCAACAACTACAGACTGTGGAAAAGAGCCAGCCGAATATCTTCTTCGATTTTCAAAAGAACCATTTCCTTTTCCAAAAAGGACACTCACATTATTGCTATAAAAATTGGCAACAACGATATCTAGTCGAGTGTCGTTGTTGAAATCACCAACAACTACAGAGTGTGGAAAAGAGCCAGCTGAATATCTTCTTTGATTTTCAAAAGAACCATTTCCTTTTCCAAGAAGGACACTCACATCATGGCTATCCCGATTGGCGACCACGATATCTAGTCGAGTGTCATTGTTGAAATCACCAACAACTACAGATTGTGGATTAGAGCCAACTGAATACCTTATTTGATTTTCAAAAGAACCATTTCCATTTCCAAGAAGGACACTCACATCATGGCTATCTTGATTGGCGACAACGATATCTAGTCGAGTGTCGCTGTTGAAATCACCAACAACTACACATAGTGGAAAAGAGCCAGCTGAATACCTTGTTTGATTTTCAAAAGAACCATTTCCATTTCCAAGAAGGACACTCACATCATCGCTAACCGCATTGGCAACAATGATATCTAGTCGAGTGTCATTGTTGAAATCACCAACAACTACAGATTGTGGAGAATAGCCAGCTGAAATTCTTGTTTGATTTGAAAAACCCTCAAAATAACCAAGGAGAATATTTATGCTACCAGTATCATTGTTGACAACGATGATATCTAGCCGAGTGTCCTTATTGAGATTACCTACTGCGACAGAAGTCGAAGAGTAAGATCCAGTTGAATACATGGTTGGGTTTTCAAAGCTGCCGTTCCCATGTCCAAGAAGTACACCTATATTTTCATTGCCGTTATTAGCGATGACGATGTCCAATAGATTATCTTGGTTGAAGTCTACGACGGCAATTGCATATGGAGAAGCAGAACCAATGGAATAGATGGCTTGATTAGCAAAAGTTCTATTGCCGTTGTTCAGAAGTACACCTACTTCATGGGTTCCCGAGTTAGCAATAGCTATGTCGACAAATATGTCGTCATTGAAATAGCCAACAGCGATTGAATATGGATGAGAACCAGCGCCAGTTGAAAACGTAATTTGTTTTTCAAAAGTTCTATTGCTATTTCCAAAAAGTATGTCAACATTATTCGTACCATAATTGGCAATGGCGAGATCTAAATAGTTGTCGTTATTGAAATCTCCAGCAGCTAATGAAGATGGAAGAGAATCATAACCTGTTGAATAAGTACTTGTAGGAGAAAAATTTCCATTGCGAGTTCCATAGAGTATGCTAACACTATGAGTTCCATAATTGGCAGTGGCAATATCAAGTAGTGAGTCATTGTTGAAATCAACAGCAATAATTGCTATCGGACGAGATGAGCCTGTTGAAAACTCTATTTGACTTGAGAAAGATCCATTCCCAAATCCATGAAAGATGCCGATATTGTTAGTGCCAAAATTTGCTACTGCAATATCCAATCGGTTGTCATTGTTGAAATCTCCAACTGTGATCATGTAAGGACTAGAATAGGAACCTGCTGAATACATGGTTGGATCTCTAAAACTGCCATCATCATTTCCCAAATACACCGCTATTTTGTTGACTATATGATTGGCAATAACCATATCCAAAACAGTGTCATTGTCGAAATCACTGATGGCGACAGATCGTGGACCATACTTATATTCAACTGGCTTTTGAGCCGTTGGTTTGAAATTGAGGCCACACTTTGGAACTAAACGATACATTAAAAGCAATGTGATGATTGATTGTTTGCCGCAGCGAAACTATCTTTCCTAGATTATTTCGAATTATCACGATTCCTATAATATACTATCAGAAATTATCGTATGACTCTATGTAGAGTCAATTCAAAACCATCATCTTTCGAGAGAACTCTGGTTAGTTTCTTAGAATACAGATGGAGTTACATAAGGAAATTCATCAACCGGACAATTTGTCTGTTCCCATCTTTTTCATTTACTGTAGAATTTGTTCGAAAAATGCGTTGTTTCATATTGTTGCAGAATCAAATGTGCATCAAAACAACTGTATTCTGTAATGCTCTCAGTGATTCAATCAGTATTTTGGATTGGTAATTACAACAACAGACAAAGTATAACGGATTTTGCTACGAATGCTTGAGAATAACAATGGACAAAATTCTGACGATAGAGAAGGACATGTGAAGCTACTAGCTGGCTAACTATGCACGAACAGTACAATATGCAAGTGAAGCAGGCGAGAACAAGCATACAAGGAATGACGACTTAGAATAGTAAGTATGTGTCAGCAGTTATGCCATATTGACAACAAATAAGCAATTATATACCTCTATTCTTTTCTGTACAGTAAGTAATAAATGACTTCTATCGGTCTGTTTGATCATAAATAGTAATAACTATTCTTCTCAGTTTTTAGTTACAGATCTTTGATTACGTCTTATTTAACTTACAGGATAATTTATCTGATATCAGGTTTAATAATACTCTTAAGACGTTGTGGAGACTACTCATTTTTATTATCGAGACATGCAGATGATGATAAAATAGAAATGTACTTACTATCTGTTTACTTTGTGAAGATAGTCGACTTCTAACCATCTATGAGTCAGATAGAATTATTATTTTATGGCGTATATAGAAAGTTTTATTGTTTCAAAGAGTGGTAACGAAAAGAATTCACTAGAATGTAATACAGAAATGAGAACTTACACGTGAATACAACATAGAACACACATGAGTCATACAGAAAGACAAAAAGAAAACGACTGTATAGAAACATACTAGCAGAATGACGGACGATCTAGATGGAATACATATACTGCTTACTCTCCTCTACAGGTAACATAAAGTAAGAAAATGTAAAGAAGATGTGTTCCGTAGAGAAGAAATATTTACTTTTGTCACGCTCTGTGAGAAAATCAGTTGTATTTTCTCTTATTCTTTCATATTTCTATTAGACCCAAGAACATATTGATGAGATCCAGAAAAAGCAATCCAAGATAAACTGCTGTTTTCATTTAGAGATGTGAAAGAGTATCATCAAAAATAATAGAAGAAGCGATTCAAGAACATCAAATACAATAAAGTTGATCTTTCTACAACAAGTAACAAACTATAATATCAGTTTGCAAAAATCAGGTCGTAAAATTGTTGTTTTACTGAGACATAAGAAAAATTTATAGAAAATGCAATAATCTCCGTCCTAGAGAAACCTATTATACTTGTTTCTCTAAAATAAAGCGTCAATGGGATAATTCTTTCTGGAGTTCTCTTAAAATCTATAATCTCTACCAATAAATAAAATAGAAGGATCCGACTTATGGACAAAGTATCAGATCTACTAGTGATGATTATCTTGGTTGATTTGCATTTGCTAGTGCTAATTTGAAATGGGAAAGTAAAGAAGTTGCAATGCCTATAATTTCGTACCCATTTGATGATTTGTCTCGAACATGTCGATATCAAATATTATCACAATTAGTGGTTTTTTAATCAAAACTCACAATACTGATAAAACAGAACTGAATTAACTATGGATTTTTATCGTATTGAATACGCAGAATGTAAAACAACAAGGACTTACCTAGTGGTTTTGGTGCAGTTAAACAAACTACCACTATGCCGATGATAGTAACTATACTTGTAATCGTAGGCAGTACAAAGACAGGTTTCGTTATGAAACCCAATATTGACCAGTAACAATATTTCCTAAGAAAGAGCAACAACGATGATATTTGACATGAGAAGAAAAAGTTATACATATTCTGTCGCATCGTGTAACTTTTTATTCGAGCGATAGTATTGTTCTGGATATTTCTTGCATTTTGCCCATTTGAAATTGATTTCGGCTTCTCGTTTGCATCGACGACAACACTGTTCTTACGAAGCGAGTAGCTGACCAATTTGATATTATTATCCATAGGAACCATTTCAATCTACGATGAGACAATAGTTAAGGAAGAACACATACATGATATCAGAATATAAACATATCTCTAATCATGTGGAGTTTCCACAGAAAACTGTCATTGCAATAATTTTGCCTAATCCGTTCAGTCGATTTATGTATAAGCAGACAACTTTTCTGTGCAATCTTAACGATTTTTCAACGGTTAAATAGATGTGTTTAATACGTTGAGGAGACTGCACAAGATCTTTGGCGATACACTTATAGCCGATCAAAACACTTGCATGAATACTGCAACATATTAAAACAATTATCAAAGCTCTTGCTTCCAATATTTATTTAACCAGCTAACGCTTATTTAGTTTGTTGATTTCTGTCACAACTAGTGCACATTATTTTTTTCTGTTTTCAATTCTCTTCCATGGATACTTTC